ACTAACAGGACTAAAATACTACATTGAGTCACATACCAAATACAGTTTCAGAAAATATAAACCTTTCTCATGAAACTCTCAAATCCTATTAACTGGAAGGATACTGGTTTAATGACAGAGCTTGTGAAAATGCTGTTTTGAATGTGGTTAATGAAGATCGTTTTCCAGAAGGCAAGACACTATTATCACGGCTATCACCCTATTTTTATTTACAAGTAGTTTACGTGCTGGAAGTACCACAGAACAATGCGAGCCAACGAAAACAGAAGAAACCGCATTCTGCTCTCATGCTGTAAACACAGCAGTGTGTGTACGGACACAGGCACATGGTGCTAAAACCGAGATCTATGCAGGCAGAATCTGAACTCATACCTCTTTGGCACTTAGAGAAAAACACTGGTTCAACCAAGCCAACTGCGAAGAGTATCTTTTCATATACTTTACTGTTCCCAATTTTAAAATTGCTATAATCTGGCCTAGACTCTCTGGCACGGTGTACTGAACTGTGGAGCTGGAAGCTACATGCCAACCGTGGTTCAAGTCCCCAGCCCAGCCAGCCTGAAAACACAGGCAGGATGCGCAGATGCATGCCGAGATCCCAGCTGGCTGGAAGACTAGAGGAAGGAGAACATGGCATGACCAAGCCCTGTGGATGGTGCTCTTCTCTCTTTCTCATGCACATGCTCTACTATGAATTTTAAAATAATAATAGTAATAATGCTATAATCTCAGGGCCAGCAGGTAGCATGGCCATTAAGCTGCTGGACTCCCCACATGATTGACTGCAGTCTGAGGCCCAGACCCAGCAGCTTGAAACTCATGCCAGGCATGTGTGCACGCATGCCCAAAATCCTGAGAAGGGACTGCAGCACGACCATCTCCCCTGAGGGGTGATTTTTTTGTCTTTTTTTTTTTGCCTTCTGTCTCTCTGGCAAACACATAGGCACTATAACAAAAATCTCTTAAAAAAAAAAAAACTATAATCAACTGGAATCTATCAATTTAATCAATTATGATCCCAAAGTATAATTAATAGCAGTCATTGAAATGTGTGGTGTAGGAATCTCTTTAAAAATACAGGCCCAGTCACAGTAGCATAAGTGGGAGGGCACAGTGTGGCGCCCAAGCCAGCATGGGGGACCAGGGATTGATTCCCACTCTGACTTAAGTAGGCTGGTGTGGTGGCCCATGCTGGTAGTCCCAGCTTACTGGGATTCTGGAGCAGAAGGATCACAACGTGGCAAGATCCTGTCAAAAAGATCTATTTTTCTTGTTCGCTCTTCCTCCCTCCCTTGGGCACTCTGCCATAGAAAAATAAGAAAAAAAAATTTTTAATTTAAAAAATGACAAAGCAGGTTGTGAGGCAATGTTGCGTGATACTGCAGCCATATGGGAAGGTCTGGGTTTGGATCCTGGGTTGCCATGAATAGACTGGGTACACTCAGGTAAGCCTGAGACGTCTGCCATAGTTGACCTATGATCCGGTCTGGCTGGAATTCTGGGGTAGGAGGAAAATGGGGTGAGACTGTCGAAGGTACCATTTTTTTCTCTCTCTCTCATGAAAGAAAGAAAGAAACTAAAAATTTAAAACATAAAAATGGGCTGGAGCCAGCAGGTGGTGTGGTGGTTAAAGTGCTGGACTCACACATGGCCAACTAAGGTTTGAGTCCCAGACCTGGCAGCTTGCAAATCAAAGGACTGAGGTGTGAATATCCCCCTTGTGTTGTGATTTCTCACTTTCCCTCTCTCTGACTCTCAGGCAAATGCACATGCCCTATGACAAAAATCTAAAAAAAGTAAAAAGTGCACTAAAACTTAATGTTTTTAGAGTTGAGATTTTAAAACATCTTTTGAACATGCCTCATTTGTATGGAATTCAACCTTAATTTATATACAACAGTGTTAACAATGACACTTTAACATCTTACGATGGGGGGTACAAAATTAACCCATGTCCCCAGACTAACACTGACCTGGGAAATACTCAAGTGCACAAGAACGTGGGAGCATGTAGAGTGGTCTCCCCCATGTGCTTCTACTGTTTCTTGCTGTTCTCTTAATTTGCTTGTCTTGAAAAGGAGCAGTGACCCAGAGGACATGCTCTGAAGGAGCTCTCAGAGCTGGAAGCCAAGCGCTCTGGCTAGGGGGCTCTGTGCCCTGGAGCTGGGAGGAGAGCTGGATGTTGGTAACTGTACCTTCATTTCATCTCAGACCATAAGAATTGACATCACTGGGAAAACAGCCACTGTTTAGCTGTGGTCCACAGGTGACTTGGTTTCTTTGATCCCAGTGTCAGAACTAGGAGGGTTCTGCAGTGAGATATTTTATACTAGGAAGCATATTTTCCCCTCTAGTGAAACCAGTGAGCTTTTTCCTCTATACCAGTTTAGGACATAAATGGTTTCTCAAATATAACAGTGGGTACCCTAGGAAATACTCAGAAAGGCATGTCCATGAAGGTACTGAACACAAACACCAGGAACGAGAGGCAGTTATTACTAAGGCTTAGTTCTACTTAGTAAGGACTTTCAGAGTGAGTACTTGAAACCTTTGTGCAGACTAAACTACCAGGCTGCAATGTCATTCTCTACTTCCCCTTTAGTGCTACAGATGTTTCCAGGCAGAGAAGGCGCTCTTTATTTTCATTTTAAAAGAAACCGAAACAGAAGAGCCAAATTACTAAAATCAAATGTCACATTCAGAAATATGACCTTGGCAGTCATAGTCCTCAATCTTTATCTGCTTCATAAGTCACACTGTCTACAACAGAAAGAGCTATGATAACTCTGACTTGGACAATTGCTAGAGAAAACACTAATTTTGATATTAAGATTATTCTTTTTTAATTATTTATTTATTTATCCACTCATTTATTTTTTAATTTGACCAGAGAGAGACAGAGAGAAAGAGAGAGAGGGAAAGTGAGAAAGCAAGCCACCAGGTCCGGGACTCGAACCGTGGTCGGCCATGTGGGAGTGTCCAGCACCTTAACCACCACACCAGCTGCTGGCCCCCGGTATTAAGATTATTCTTAATGGAATTAGTTATACATAAAACAATCTGATTTATAATCAGAAGAGAAATCTTAAGCTTGAGAGTCTTTAAAAAATTTATTTGGCACTTACCTTTTATGTTATTTTATCAAATCTCAGACATATGAAAAAAAGAAAAGCTGTTTCTTTAAGTAATATATGCTTTTAAAAAACTAAAAAAAAATTAGCTAAACCTAGTGGTGAGGCTTGCGGACACTATCACATGGCAAGCATTATATCTAAAAACAAAAATGTTTGTGTCATAAAGTAAGAGCTAGAGCCAAAAAAATAAATAAATAATGGGACCAGCAGTTAGTGTAATGGCTATGTCGCTGGACTCCCATGTAGTCAACTGTGGTTCGAGTTCCAAACCCGGTGGCTTAAACTCACACCGGGTGCGTGTGCGTGTGTGCCCAAGATCCCGAGAGGAGAATGGAGAAGAAGGGATTGTGCCGTGACCATCCCCCCGGGGGGTGATTTCTCGCTTTCTGTCTCTCTGTCTCTGTCTTTCCGGTGAGCGCACGCGCCCTATAGCAAAAACCTCTCAAAAAATAAAAAAGTAAGAGCTAGAGAAGAGCAACTAAGAAAAAAGAAAATTAGAAGCAAACACTTATTTTCTTCCTACCTGGAAAAAATAAGCTGAAGAATGCAAAAGAGCTATGGTAGAGGAGCGAAATCCTCACACACCTCAGTGACAACTGAAGCAGAAGCAGCTGTTTCCTTCTCCTCAGATGGGCCCGTCACTACAATGACACTGCGAGCAATATCCTAACTGCTGTTGCCCCGGGGAGCACCATTAAATATAGAGACTGGTGCCTGTCACCACTTTTACAAAAGAGACACGGATTTACCAAACTGGGTACCAATAAGACTGGAGCACTTCAAAATTAGACAACTGAGATGGAGTCTACACTCCTACTGAACTGAGACCAACCTTGTGAACCACAGATGCGCTTTGCTCCAGGATGCCAATTCCACAGGGACTGGACCACAGACCCCATCGGCACTCCCAATGGTAGAATACTGATAAACTACACTTGATGCAGAGATAACCGTGGTGTCAGGTACAACCAAGCACAACTGTCTCATGGTGAACGCAACAGCCTCTAGGCGCTTAAACATTATTCTAAATACCCTGAAGGAATCTCTTTTCCCAATAATCCCCTCAGATATCTAATATTAGATACTCAGATGTTCAGTCTGTTCTCTAGATAAGACACATTCAAATGAAACATTTTCCCAAAAAGGATGCCAAACATTAGAGTTTGCTTTATTGCATGACATTTGCATAAGAAAAAAAATATTTTGGAAAACTGAGAGGCAATCATGCAATCATGGATAAGCTAATTATTAACTACACACTCCAGATAGTGGACATATATTCTAAAATTGTAAAACTAGTTCCAAAAAAGTACATAAAAAATTTAACATGATGAGCTTTTAAATATGGTTTCTATTTATAGTTTCATGTTGTTAAAAAGTGCTTCAAATGTGCTGCTGCAAAGTTGCTCTTTAGAAATGGTGCTGGGGGTAATGTCAGATTATAAACTATAAAAACTAATTCTTTTATGGAATTAGAAAGCTAACATCGTGATACTCAAACTTACTTGAATCAGTTTTCAATTCTCACTCAAATTAGGTTGATATAATATTAATAATCTAAAAAAAATCTGTTTCATAACCAACAAAAGTCTATTGAATTCAAGTTATGCACGTTGAGTGATCAAATCTCTGATGGGGGCTGGTGTTAATCAATGTACTGTGCCATCCAGCGGAAGCCTTCTCCATAACCTTGTCTTTTGAGCACACTGCACATGAAAACTTCTAAAGGTCGGGCATTCAGTTCCTTCAGAGATACGCTGCCCTAGAAGAGAAGAGAGACATTACAGCTGTTTCCTTCTCCTCAGATGGGCCCGTCACTACAATGACACTGCGAGCAATATCCTAACTGCTGTTGCCCCGGGGAGCACCATTAAATATAGAGACTGGTGCCTGTCACCACTTTTACAAAAGAGACACGGATTTACCAAACTGGGTACCAATAAGACTGGAGCACTTCAAAATTAGACAACTGAGATGGAGTCTACACTCCTACTGAACTGAGACCAACCTTGTGAACCACAGATGCGCTTTGCTCCAGGATGCCAATTCCACAGGGACTGGACCACAGACCCCATCGGCACTCCCAATGGTAGAATACTGATAAACTACACTTGATGCAGAGATAACCGTGGTGTCAGGTACAACCAAGCACAACTGTCTCATGGTGAACGCAACAGCCTCTAGGCGCTTAAACATTATTCTAAATACCCTGAAGGAATCTCTTTTCCCAATAATCCCCTCAGATATCTAATATTAGATACTCAGATGTTCAGTCTGTTCTCTAGATAAGACACATTCAAATGAAACATTTTCCCAAAAAGGATGCCAAACATTAGAGTTTGCTTTATTGCATGACATTTGCATAAGAAAAAAAATATTTTGGAAAACTGAGAGGCAATCATGCAATCATGGATAAGCTAATTATTAACTACACACTCCAGATAGTGGACATATATTCTAAAATTGTAAAACTAGTTCCAAAAAAGTACATAAAAAATTTAACATGATGAGCTTTTAAATATGGTTTCTATTTATAGTTTCATGTTGTTAAAAAGTGCTTCAAATGTGCTGCTGCAAAGTTGCTCTTTAGAAATGGTGCTGGGGGTAATGTCAGATTATAAACTATAAAAACTAATTCTTTTATGGAATTAGAAAGCTAACATCGTGATACTCAAACTTACTTGAATCAGTTTTCAATTCTCACTCAAATTAGGTTGATATAATATTAATAATCTAAAAAAAATCTGTTTCATAACCAACAAAAGTCTATTGAATTCAAGTTATGCACGTTGAGTGATCAAATCTCTGATGGGGGCTGGTGTTAATCAATGTACTGTGCCATCCAGCGGAAGCCTTCTCCATAACCTTGTCTTTTGAGCACACTGCACATGAAAACTTCTAAAGGTCGGGCATTCAGTTCCTTCAGAGATACGCTGCCCTAGAAGAGAAGAGAGACATTACTTGGAGCTTCGTGAAATAACAGCTCCCCCCCGCAGAAGCACAGTTCTACTTCAGAACAAAGGGTGACTGTGCTAAAGCCATGGCTGCTTGGCATCGGAATTCCCTAAACACACAGGAAGCTGCCTCCTCTCACTCTACCTTAGGACAAGATGGTCACTCACTGAGTTTATGAGGTGAGCAAAAGTAAACATCATCTGACTCAGAAAAAATTCAAACTGCTTTCACTGATATTAAAGACAAACATTCTCTAAGTAGGTTTAGGACAAAACAAGGCATTTTTCTAAAATTGATGACAAGGTGATTTACTAAAAGAAGACCGAAAAAAAGAAAAAAAGAGACCAAAGTCTACCTTATCTAACGTAAGCGTTTCCTTCTACATGCTATAGTATTTCTCTTTTTAAAAAGGGGCTATGTAAACCAAGGAAATTTTGTGAATTCTGTGGTGGGATTTTTTAATACTATTTTTTGACAATGTATCCTACTCCTTTAAGAAATCCCAGTAAAAATGAATGCAAAAACAATACATCTTAAAGCTCATTACTGAAGTGGATGTCCAGAAAATCTTGCAACACTCTCATACCCAAGTTCATGTCTTCTTTAACTCTAGTGAACTTGGAACCTAAACACTACTAGTATGCTCAAATATTCAAACATGGTTTGGCCACTGTGGCCAAGCAAGTCTGTACACCACTTGGTGACGATCGGCTTGAATGCCCAGGCTGGCCTGAAAACACAGGATCCTGAGTAGCTGGAGGAAGGGGCTGTGGTACGACAAGCTCCTGTGAAGCATGCTTCTCTGTTTCTCCCCCTTGCTTTTCTCTTGTGTGCACATGCGAGTACCCTCTATCATTTAAAAAAATTACTCAGATGTATTATTCAGGGACTAATTCCAAAAATTTACAATACAGCTTCCTGTAAGCACAAGTCATAAGCATAACTGATCCTTGGCATTTTGGTTATCATGAAAAAGAAGGTTTCGTTCAGTAGTAGAAAGAAATGAAGATATTAATAAAGATCCAAATGTATAAATGACATTTTAAGGGGGAAAAAAAAGACGAAGGGCTTGTGTAGCTGGACAACAGTAATTTAAGAAGACATCTATACTATAGAATTAAATAGTCAGACTCATAAAAGTTTTTTTCTTTCTTTTTTTTTTTTTTTTTTTTTTTCTTTTTC